TTTTTTTTTTTTTTTCTTTATTCCGACACGGAGCCGTGTCAGAATAGAAAAAAAAGGAAAAAAATGTTTTGCCCATTGGAATGCATTGCTAGATTCCTATTGGCTATTTCAATTTGCAATAGCCAATAGTAAACTAGCATTGTACCCGCCCTCTGCTGATGGACCTGATGGAGAACTGCAGCAGAGGGTGGGTACAATGCTAGTTTACTATTGGCTATTGCAAATTGAAACGACTCCGTGTCAGAATAAAAAAAGAAACAGCAGTGTTTCTCTCCTTGGTGGCCGGGAGCGGGAGAATCCCGGAGCGCCAGGGAGAGTTTGCTGTTTGGAGATCAGTGTCCCTGGTTAGCAGGTAACCAGGGACGCTGATCTCTCTGCAAGCGGCTGGAGCCAGCCGTAAGATCACGGCTGGCTCCGCCCAGCTGTTCAGAAGCAGGCTGTCGGCCGGCCGCTTGGCCAGCTTCGGCTTTAAACGCTGCTCAGCCAAGGCATATGCGTTCGGCTCGACTGAGCCGCTCGGCCACGTTTGGGAGCTGTAGGTCTATAGTGAATAGCCCGTACAGCACCCCTTCGGTTCCACTGAACCGAAGGGGTCCTGGGGCCGAAGCTAGCCGAAGGATCGGCCGAAGCTACGGCTAGATCCTTTGGCAGCTTCGTGAATACACCCTATTGCCAGACGTTTAAATCCTTCCTCACTCTGCTACAAATGTGATTTTTTTTTTTGTGTCACTTTCTGTCCTGCCCTACAGATGCACAGACAACAATACATATCTGACATAAGTTGTAACCCTTTTTCATTCCATCTAAAATAGAAAAAAAAAGTTGAGCTTTAAAGCAGAACTATAACCTTTTTCCAAAACAAATTGTAAACAGGAAGGTTGTTGTTTTTTTTTTTGCAGAAGAGGGGTTATTTTACTGAAGTCAAATAGGCTGTTCACTTTGCAAGGGAAGTTTCCCTTAGCTTGGTGAATGTGATTTAAATTTCACTTTGCAAAGAATACCCAATTGTGTTCAAGGAAAATAAAAAAAACTTTATTTTTACTTTCACATGATTGGGTGATGAAAGTCAGCAGAGCTTCACCTCATTCACTAAACTAAGCAAAAACTTCCCCTGCAAAGTGCAAATTCCCTTACAAAGTGAACAGCCTATTTGCCTTTAGTAAATCAACCTGTATGTCTCTTCTGCAATAAAGGCTTCTTAGTGTCCTGTTCACATTTGCATGCGTAGCTTACAATACAATACAATACCAGCATCTGCCAGATGCATGCACGGGAGTTAGGTCATCCTGAGCCAGCCAATCAAGATGGCCAAAGATGCCAAGTCTGGAAGAAGACAAGTAGAAGATGTTGCACCCATGGAGGGAGATTGCTGTATTCACTAAGCTGGAGTGGAAGTATACTTCCAATTTAAATACTACAAAAGGTTGAATGAAGTTTCAGAACAAGACTTTTACTATATTTTGTTTTTCACCATAGATTGCTTGAAAAGTGAGGCTCAGAAGAGAAGAGAAAAACTCTTACTTGATGAGTTGGTGTCTCTAGTAGATCAGCGTGATGGCCTTGTGAGAGATCTCCATATCAAAGAGAGGAAGTATGTATAATTTACATAGAAATGTAATCTAACAAGTTCTTCAGTTCTATCAATCACAAGTCACCTTTTGTAATGTTTATAATTCTTGCTTGATTCTTATAGAGCTATAGAAGAAGATGAAATAATAGAGAGAAGCCTTGAGCAAAGGAGGAGGAAGCTTAGCAAAAAGGAGAAATGTCGCATCAGTTAAGGCTTTGAGGTCAAAGGAAAAATATATACAAAAAATATGTAAAACAAATTACAGTTTTGAAAAACTCTTTGCTATCATTAGAAAGAACACCTCAGATCTATAAATGGATCAAATGGCCTTCAAAAAATTTTCAGTGCTTGGCCTTTGACTGAGCTGCTAATATGCCTTCTAAGCACTACTCACCATCCTTTTTTTCTGTCTCTGTTCACCTGCTGCTAATGAGCTAATGATGTGGAGTAATATTTAAATGTGTGATTTAAAATATATATATATATA